GTATGGTGTGTGAAGATTATTAGTGAGAGAGAGACTGTGTGTGTGTGTGTGTGTATGGTGTTCGTCATGTTATTGGAAATGCTGGGGTGTCCAGCCAGGTTATTTTTGGATCAGTGACAGCGTGTCAATGGCTGCAGATGCGTCGCAAAGGAAGGCTCTGAGATACCAGCAGACCCTGGTAAGACTGAGACACACACGTCGGATCACCTGTCTGTCTGTCTGTCCGTCTGTCTGTCCGTCTGTCTCTCTGTCTGTCTGTCTGTTTTCATGACTTTTCTTATTGTTTTGTTCTTGTTTTTCGTGTCCCTACACTTGTTCCCCTCTCTCTCTCCCTCTTTCATTGTCTCTCTCTCTCTCTCTTCACTCCATCTACTCACCTGTCATATTCTCCTCCTATGTCTCTCTCTCTCTCTCTCCTCTGTTCTTCCTCTCCTTTAACATCCTCCCTCCCTCCCTCCCTCCCCCTCTCTCTGCTCCCGTCTTTTCTCATCAACAGGATTCGTTGTCTGTTTTGTTTCTGCTTCACCAACATCACACAGAATACCCACAATGCCCTTGTCTTCAATCGGTTCTGTCTTATCTCAACTGGTTGCTGCTTCCCTCCCTCCCTCACCTCCTCCTCCTCCCTGTGTTCTTTTCTCTTAATGAACCAGTGTATCTTTGTGGCCCTCAAACACATTAACGTCTGACCTCATGTTGAGCCACACTCTGCAGTGAATGTGTGGTTTTTTTATTTATTATTTTCTGGTATTTAAACATTTTCCCTCACCCCCGTCTCCCCTCGTCTCCCTCCGAGGCCGCAGCCCGGTGCAGTGGTCGTCACAGTTTTGCTGTGGAGCTGGATATAAATACCAATACACAGGAAACCTGAGCAGACAGGTTAGATGAAGTCATGTCAGCGTATCCTCGGCTTCATCTGTTTAAACGCTCATCCAGAATCAGGTTGGTTCGTTCCCAGAGCTCTCACTCACCCACTGCTGCTCAACAACAGGTTCTCTTCCATTTTTATTTATTTTTTAATTCCGTCGTAGTCACGGCTGCAGAGTCCAGACGTTACAAAATTAAATTTATTTTTTATAGTTTTATTCGTGTTGATGCGTTCATAAAATGTATCACAATACTGATAATAATGTGAAAAATACAATACTACAACTAATACTACTGATTATAACAAAAAACACAAAATATATATTACTGTATTTATTACTATTACAACAATTACTTTGTAAAAGAATAATAATAATTATATTAAGGTTTTAATTATTTCTGCCTATATAAATAATAATTAATATAAT